ACGGTGAAACCCCGTCTCTACTAAAAAATACAAAAAACTAGCCGGGCGAGGTGGCAGGCGCCTGTAGTCCCAGCTACTTAGGAGGCTGAGGCAGGAGAATGGCGTGAACCTGGGAGGCGGAGCTTGCAGTGAGCGGAGATCCGGCCACTGCACTCGAGCCTGGGTAACAGAGCCAGCCTCCGTCCAAAAAAAAAAAAAAAAAAAAAAAAACAAAAAAAACCTATCATCATAAAGCTTCTTGGGTGATTTAAAAAAAATACCTATCACTTTATTGTTGTCATTAAAGCACACACCTACCTGCTCCTCCATTTTCCTCATTAAATTCTGATGCAATGACTTGATGCCAGAGTAAGATGAAAGGAGTGGTCACAATTGTCTTATGATTGGGAAAGGCTGTGAACCTAATGGGGTTCTTTCCCTGCTTTCTCTCTCCTGCATTCTTTTGATTACACTCTTCTTAGCTCATAAATAAAGTGTAGCAACATGTTAAGCTATGGAGTTAACATGGCTAGTGACACATTATTCTCATTATATATAATAAGTTGTCTCAGATGTTTCAAATAATGTGTCCTATACATCTACCATCTTGAAAATAATAAAAACAAAATGACCCCCGAAAATGTCAAATAGCAAGAACTACCCGAGACCCCAAATCTAAAAATGTGGCAGATATTCAGCAAATACTAATAGGAAAATGACTTAAGTTTCTCCTACTTCACCTTTTGGCAGAATTATTGGCATAATAAAGGACATGTTTTCCCAGAGGGGGGGGAAAAAAAAAGACAAGTCAATTCTTTAAATCTTGAAACTAAAAATGCATCACTGCTGTAATGCATTTCCAAACATACTACCAGGAAAGAGAAAGAAAAAAACTAAGAAGCATTAGTGTAGGTGATATTAAAGAAAATGGTTGGAGATGGAACTCCTGCCTAGTAATTCAGGAAGCAAAGGAGCTGGTGGGATGGACAGGTTGTTCCTTCTGCATTGCTGATGAAAACAGGAAATTGAATTTCTATATATTTTTCCTTTTTACAGCTAAGAAAAAGGCAGAAGAAGCACAAAGAGCCTGGCTAAAGACAGAAATCATAGTGCTCTCTGAAAATCAACATCAAGAACAAAAAGTCCTACTCAATTATCTGCAGTAACTAACTAGAGAAAACTCCCCATCTTTTCTTTATTTAGGAATATCTTTGTTACTTTGATAGAGATATTAAGTCATTCATCCAATCACCCATCAATTCAATGAAAAAACATTTATTGAGCACACAGAGGTGCCAGACCCTAGGTACTGTGTGTGTATGGAGAGAAGTGGGTGAAGTGAGACTAAAGAAATATCACCTTTCTTAAATTTTTTCTTTTCCAACACCACTAAACCTGTGGGGGAATATCATCCTTTTCCACAAGGATTTAATAGTCTAGCGAGGGAGACAAAAAAAATCCTCTAAAAAATTAGGTATCTGGGTTGGGTGCGGTGGCTCATGCCTGTAATCCCAGCACTTTGGGAGGCCGAGGCGGGTGGATCATTTGAGGTCAGGAGTTTGGGACAAGTCTGGCCAACATGGTGAAACCCTGTCTCTACTAAAAATACAAAAATTAGCCAGCCGTGGTGGTGCACATCAGTAATCCCAGCTACTTGGGAGTCTAAGCTGGAGAATCTCTTGAAACGCGAGGCGGAGGATGCAGCGAGCTGAGATCGCATCATTGCACTCCAACCTGGGTAACAAAGCGAGATCCTGTTCCCCCACCCACCCCCCCACACCAAAAAAAGAGGTGTCTCTGCCAGGCACGGTGGCTCAGGCCTGTAATCCCAGCACTTTGGGAGGCCAAGGTGGGAGAATCGCAACAGCCCAGGAATTTGAGACCAGCCTGGCCAACATGGTGAAACCCTTCCTACAAAAAATACAAAAATTAGCCAGGGGTGGTGGCGCGTGCCTGCAGCCCCAGATACTCGGGAGGCTGAAGCGGGAGGATCACTTCAGCCCAGGAGGTTGAGGCTGCAGTGAGCTGTGATCGCACCACTGCATTTCAGACTCAGCAACAGAGCGAGACCCTGTCTCCAAAAAAAGAGGGAAAGAAAGAAAGAAGAGAGAGAGAGAAAGAAAGAAAGAAAGAAAGAAAGAAAGAAAGAAAGAAAGAAAGAAAGAAGTGTCTCATTGAGCTCAATCCTGACCCTTTCCAGGAGGAATAATAACAAAATAATAAAAACAAAATACCCCTGAAGAGAAGGAAAATTTAACGAAAATAACAAAAATATCTTGGAAAAAGCGAGCAACTTGGAACTGGATCTGTCTGATGACTGGCTCAATTCCTAAGCTGGATGGTTTGAAATCTGTTATTTAACATCCTTGCATACACTGGGGATAGTAATTCCTATCTACCTAACAGAGCTGAAGCTTAAACGAGAACACTGTAATATGCCTAAGGTCCCAAGAGCTGAATCAACAAAGAGAATCTGACAGTCAGCTTACGACAGAGGGAACGGATAGTTTTACTGCAATGGAGGGACCTACAGGGGCACAGAAAGGTATCAATCTGTGGGATCAAAGCTTTGAATCGAAGGCAGAAATGCAGTCGTTTTACAATTTTCTCCTTTCCCCCCAAAATAAGAGCAGTATTTAGATTCTTTCTATTGGTCACTATTGATGCTTCTGCATGGTGGTGCTGGCAAAAGGGATGACGGATAAAGTACTGGATTTAGGGCACCTCTGCTATGTGACCTTGGTCTCACGTTACGTCTTTGCGCTTCAGTTTTCTCATCGGTAACACGAGGATCAAAGTTCCTTTTAAACTATGCGTCCAGTTTTTGTGAGGATCCAACTCGAATGTATGTGAAAACGCCCTGAAAGCGCTACAGCGCCAGGCAAATATTAAGTTTGGTAATTTTTTTCCCCTAAGAACTAGGCGTTCCGAAGAGGAAGACAACCTCTCTGCTTGCTTTGTCACTCTCCTTTCTTTTCGACCTTTATCAACTTTGTAATTTATAATCACAGTAATAGCTGACATCCTACAGTAGTTTCTGGCACCAGATTCTCGGGCCCCACCCAGATCCACACTACCAAGCCTCCCCGCCTGCTGAGACTGAAGGAAAACTTAGCCGTTCTCCACCCGCGGGCGGGCCCTCGCCTTTAGGCCCCACCACCCAGAGTTCCGGAAGCCAATCCCCACAGCCCTGGAGCACTACCCCGCCCCTTCAAGAGGGGAAACAATATGGCGGCCAGGAAGAACGGCAGGGGCGCGAGCCAATCACCGCAGAGGCCTAGCCTCATCCGGCAAGGCCCAGAGGCGGGATCACTGGCCAAGATGGACAGCCAGAACAGCCAATAGGGCGATCGGAAAAGGGTGAGAGGGCGGGCAACAGGCTCTCACACAGCGGTTAAGGCCCCTAGAGCCAAGGGCCCAAGGACCGGCTTGGACTATCTCTTTTCTCTATCCACTCCAGAGTTCTCCATCCCACTTTTGCTGGCTGGCCGCCTTGCCTTCGGCCTATATGATAAGGGGAGGAAGGAGGCGGCGGTGGCTGAACGCGCCTGACAGGCCGGGCCAGTGACAAAGAGCCGGCGGCTCAGGCTGAACCCCGGGAAGCGATCCTTTCTAGGAGGAGAGCCCAAGTCCCCTTACAAATGAGAAAGACGCAACTCACGTTGTCAATCACGACAGGCTGGTTGGCGATCACATCGTAGGACTCCATGGCAGAGGAATCTCTCCTTCTGGGGAAGGAACTGCCTAGCCGGGTCCGCCGCTAGCGCCACTGACACGCATGCGCAGTCTAGCCGCCGGCTCAGGGAGGCGAGGGAGCTGCCCTACCTCCCCTCTGAAAAACTACAATCCCCAGCATGCTTTGCGCCTGGGTTAGCGCTCTAGGTTGCTTTGTTGCCCGCCTAATTTAAGACTGGGAGTCGTATTTCCAATGCACAGTACCCTGGGATTTGTGGTCTCCCTAGATTAAACAGCCAGAGACACAGGTTGATGGTCATGTTGCATGCCTGAATCTGTAGTCCCTTTGAAGGAGTTCGCAGTGCATACTGAGGTGTATAGTCTTCTTGAGTACTTGTCTGTCGTTCGGTTTGGATTGGTCGTAATTTATGGATGTTTGGATTTTGCAGATCAGTCCTGCCACTCCCCACAACGTTCCCTTAGACAATATAAGGTTCTCATGCTTTTATTTGGGTCTATAAGACTAATAAACATCTCCTAGCACCTCACACTCTAACGAAAAGGAAATGTTAACACACGTACGCGACAGGACATATTCCTACAACATAGGAAAACAATTTAAATTGCATAAAATTAGCTTTAAGGAAAAAACCTGTACATTGTTGTTGCTTTTTGGGTTTTCTTTTTTTCTGCATAGGTGTAAACTTTATAACAGGCTAACATTGATCCGAGGATTGGCAATTGGAACTACTGGTATAGGTAATCTTTTGGTCATTAAAACATCATCTAAGGGTTTCAGGAACTGCTCTAGTATCTCTTTAATTTTCATGAGGAGCTAGAATTGGCATTGACGGTTGAGAAAGTGGAGGTGAAGAGAGGTTATGTGTCACTGCTTTCAAATGAGCCCAGTGCATTTTTTTCTTTGGATTATGTTCTTCCCCAGCCCCCTTCAAATTGCAGGAACCTTTTTGTCAATAGCCCTAGAAAATATTAGATTTATTATAATCTATTAATATTAACGCCCCATGGATTAATGAATCAATCCATTGTCAGATTTATGTTTAAATCCTAGTTAGCAGCGCGTCAGCAAAACAGTAACAAATCCTTTGTTGGCGCACTTCTTGGTGCTTTCGTGGGACCCTAGCACCTCAGAGGGTGCTCAGCATCTCTAAACTTGGGTTCCTCCTAACACTAGGGGGAGACCAAGAGCCTTGGGACACTCCCAACACAGGGAGGGGGGAGGGGCCTATTGTCAAGTCACGCCGTCTCTGCCTGTGACTAGCATAGACACTAGCCAATGGGTGCTCGGATAGGGCGCGCCGGCGCCCCGCCTTCCTGAGCGCCCCGCCGCCCCGAGGCACCCTCTGGCAGACTTCGCGGCGGCGACAGCCTGGGCGGACAGTGCGCCGTGCGCAGGCGCGGAGCTGGACCTCGCTGCAGCCCCCATCGCCTCGGGGAGTCTCACCCACCGAGTCCGCCCGCTGGCCCGTCAGTGCTCTCCCCCTCGTTTGCCCTCTCCAGTTCTCCCAGTGCCTGCCCTACGCGCCCCGATGGCGGAGCTGCGGCCTAGCGGCGCCCCCGGCCCCACCGCACCCCCGGCCCCTGGCCCGACTGCCCCTCCAGCCTTCGCTTCGCTCTTTCCCCCGGGACTGCACGCCATCTACGGAGAGTGCCGCCGCCTTTACCCTGACCAGCCGAACCCGCTCCAGGTTACCGCTATCGTCAAGTACTGGTATGCTCTGGGCCGCGGGGAGACGGACAGGCGCGGGCTGGGAAGGGTTAAAGCGCCGAGGGCGAAGTAATTTGTGGGAGGCTGGGAGGAGGGGTAGAGAACGGTTAAAGCACTTGGAAGGAGGGCTTCCTGCTGCGAGGGAAGGAGTTAAGGCTCAAGTTGGGAATGGGGACAAAGGGGTTAACGGAGCCTGTGGGTAGTGAAGGGTTAACCGGGTTTAGGAGAATAGAGTGAGGACTAGGGGTGTGTGTAGGAGCAGAGAGGGGAACGGCATGAGCGAGGGAACTGTAAACGTGGTGAAAAGAGGGGGCGCCTGTAGGGGGTCATTAGTGGGCGAGGGGAAGCCAAGCGGGGGCGGCAGAAGTGGGATGGGAGAGGCGAGGCGGAGCCTGGGGAGCATTTGAGAGGGTTTTGGAGGAGCGAGGCCGGAGAAGCTCAGAGGGCAAGAGACTGCATAGGATGGCGGGCGGGGGTCGGTTCGGGGGGCCCGGGGCTCTCCTGTTGGAGGTAGGAGGGCCAAAGATGAGGGCCTGGTGCTTGTGGAGAGATGAGGAGGAGGTCTCCTTTTGATACCTTCCCGATGAGCTCAGACGTCGTATCAGGGTAAAGCTTTTGCTTTTGAAGTTTGACGGAGCAGCTCTTCCTGATAAACTTCTTGCTTACTCTGCACTGTTCTCTTTCTCCGTGCAGAGCTTCCTCCTAGCTCTGCAGCGGCTTTGCTTTAGGACATTAGGTAGAGAGAACCATGGTTTGGTTTAGGATTGAAAGGGACCACAGCTTCCCACCTCCATTTGGAAATAAATGATGGAGACCCTGGGACTCCAGCAGGGAGGAATTGTGCAGTGGGACATAAAGAGGAGCTTCTTGACCATGGCCTGCAGTTTCTCCGGGGAGCTGAGAGTAACCCTTATGTAGCTTTAGGGTAGGAGTGGTCTTTTCTAATTTCCCATTCCTGTTTGCAACCTGTTTCTTCCTGCAGCATTTGGGCAAAACAGATGTTCTGGGGACTCTGGAAAAGAACCTGTCCTCATGGTCTTGCTGGACCAAAAACAGATACTGGTTGAAACTGTCCAGGACTACATTCATGCAGGCGTTGTGTTAGATGATCTTCAGTGAGTCCTGAAAGATGTTTGGCAGCTGCTTGGGGTGTAGCCAAAGGGTAGACCTGAAGGGGCAAGTGGACATCTTTGCTGGTTACCTCTCCTTTTAGAACTGAGTCTCCCTCTTGGTGAAAACCTGTTACTTCCCCTGGACATGGATTTCAGTAGGCTGTGCAGGGCTAAGGCCAGCTGCCTGCGTCAACGGGAGGATGCCAAGAGGCCAACAGCGTGGAGGGCCTGGGGACCAGCCACCTGCTGTCTAGGAAGGGTTGTAGGGAACAGCCTCCTCTGTTGGAGTAGCCAGGAGGAGGTAGAACTGGTGTCACAGTCCTCTCTGGCTGGCAAACAGTTCTCTGGTTGAGAGGAGTTGTTGAAGAGTGCTTCTGAATGGAAAGCAGCTCTTGCTAGCTTAATGACCCATTCTCATTGTGCCTTTATATTTAACTATGTGTTGTGATGAACTTGTTGTCATGTGTCATGAGAAAGGTAGGCCTGGGCTGGGCACAGTGGCGCATGCCTATATTCCCACCACTTTGGGAGGCCTTGAGGATCCTTTGAGGCCAGGAGTTCGAGACCAGTGTAGGCAACATAGCCAGACCTTGTCTCTGTTACTTGAAAAACAAAAAAGGAAGTGGGCCTGGCTCTGCCATGCTGTTTGTTCAGGCCTCATTTGAGTGTGAGGAGAAATCCCTACACAGATTCAGGCAACTATTTTATGTCACACAAGTAGCCATAAAGGATAGAATTGCATGTTAAAGGTATGATAGTGTTTGCAAAGGACTAAGGGCAATTTTTTTTTCCCTTCCTGCTGCAAGCTTGTTAACAGCCGTACCTTCAGAGATGGGCCAACATGTGATAATGAAGAAAAGGGATTGTACAGCACTTTGTGAAAGCCTTGCCTAGATGCAGAAAAATATAAAGAGAAACAGCACAGTGACTGGTACTTTCTCTTTTTTTTTTTGAGACAGAGTTTTGTTCTGTCACCCAGGCTGGAATGCAGTAGCATGATCTTGGCTCACCGCAACCTCTGTCTCCTGGTTTCAAGCGATTCTCATGCCTCAGCCTCCCAAGTAGCTGGTATTACAGGCGCACACCACCATGCCCAGCTAATTTTTGTATTTTTAGTACAGGCAGGGTTTCACCATATTGGCCAGGCTGGTCTCAAACTCCTGACCTTGAGTGATCCACCCACCTCGGCCTCCCAAAGTGCTGGGATTACAGGCGTGAGTCAGTGCGCCCAGCCATCAGTGACTGGTACTTTCTAAGATGCGGAGGGGTTTGCAAAAATAAGATCCTGAAATTCATTTATATTCCTCACATTTGGGATCCCACCAGGTTTCTAGCAGGATGACTGACCCAGACTGTCTGGGTCTGTCTGTGGCCCACGGTAGCTTGGGATTCATTTTGCAATAGCAGGGTGGCTCTGTGGCTAGTGATCCCTGAGTAGTGGGGACTACTAACTGAAAGCTTTCTAACTGAAAGCTGAGACTTTGGTGAGCAAGGATCAAAGCAGAGAGTCAGAACCTGCACTCATGGCCCACTTCAGTCCTGCAACTGCCCTGCCAAGAGAAGTTGGGTGTTGAAGGAATTAAGTTGAGGGATGCCCTGGGACCTTGGATAACATCATTTGCTAAGTGTAAAATATGATTTTTTCCCACATACTCATCTGGCCTCTGGGTAGTAGAACAGAATACTCTGCTTGGGGACAGGGTTAATTTTGTCTGACTCTTGGTAGTTCCTTGCAGTTGTAGTTTTAAGGTTAAGCTTCTCTCCTTGATGTGACACCTTGTGGGAGACCTGGTGAGAAAGAGGGCTTCAGGGATGCTGCAGATGGAGCAGAGAATGGTGAACGCAGTTTTGCAGCTCGGTGCAGGATGGACCTAGGCTGTAGCAGGGCAGGTTTAGAAATTTACAGCAGGAAGCTGGAGCAGGTTTGGGGCCTGTAGTGGCTCCCATCTGCTCTGGAGTTCTGTAGCTCTAATGGGGTCTTTCCAGGGATCTCTACTCTTTTCTTTCTTCCTTTGCCCCACAAACTTTTCTAAATCCAACCGGTTGTAGTAGTCAAATGATTTGTTGAAATCAGAGTTAAGGCAGACATGGAGAGTTGTCCATCTTCCTCAGTTGAGATGCTAAGCTATTTGTAGCAACTTTCTTAGAAGTTTTATAAATAACTTAGCATTTCCTAGCAGAGAATAGGGATTTCTACAAAGGCAAATAATATCCTGGTAAAAGAGGATGAAAACAAGACCTACTGGTTTTAAATAGTGTTTAAATTGCCTGGTGTTGGCAACATTGACTGGGATCACTTGTAACGTGTCTTTTATTTGGTTGTTAGCTTTCCACTAGCATGCTATCCTGGTTGAAAAGTGTACTCCATTGATGTCCCAGGGGCAGGTGAAGCTTTTGCAGTCTATGGAGTGGTCAGATGTTTGTGGCAGCTCAAGTGCCGTGTTTGTGGGCTAAATGCAGACTTCCTTCCACTGGTTTCTATTTGGTCTGTTTCTCTAGCTGCCAAAATTTCTTATCCATTCTAAAGGATAACAGGATTTTTTTTTTTTTTTTTGACGCAGTCTCTCTCTGTCGCCCAGGCTGGAGTGCAGTGGCGTGATCTCGGCTCCCTGAAACCTCTGCCTCTGGTGTTCAAGCGATTCTCCTGCCTCAGCCTCCCAAATAGCTGGGATTACAGGCACCTGCCACCACGCCCGGCTAATTTTTTGTATCTTTAGTAGAGATGGGGTTTCACCATATTGGCCAGGCTGGTCTCAAACTGGTCTCAAACTCCTGACCTCAAGTGATCCACCCACTTCGGCCTCCCAAAGTGCAGAGATTACAGGTGTGAGCCACCATGCCCAGCCAAAACAGGATTTTTTTTTTTAAAGCACTAATTACTAAAGGGAACTCTTATTGTATTATATTCTCGGAGTGAGATAATAACTGAATCTCTTCTGCTGCTCCTTCTCAGTTGAATGGTGGGGGAAATTTAATGTGGTCCTGAGAGGCCCCAAATCATTTACCGTCCCAGCTCTACCTTTGAGGGGGCAGTCTCTCCTGGGATCATTTTCTGGGTGCAGATGCTCACAGGGCGCAGTTTGACTCCTGCTGCAGTTCTCTGTGCAGAACTGAGTTAAGCCTAAGTTTGGCCTTTGTCACTTGCAGTGATAAGAGACCAGCTTTGGTCTATGTGGTGCAGGCTGGTGTCTGCACGGACTAGAGGCTTCGGGTTTGTTTAGAACAAACTGTAATTAACAAGGGCACAATATAGTCTTTCAGGAATTAGCTGTCTAAGAGGCTGGAGTGGAGCAGAGCCTCTGCTTCCAGGAACAATGCCCATTGGGGATGCTCGGGATGGTCTTTCAACAGAGGCCAATTGATTGACTGATACACCTCTTGCCTTGAAGCTTGCATGTATACAAGCACCACAGAAGAGAGAGAATCCCTGCCAGTCTCACTTGGGATCAGTAATTTGAAACAGGAGAAAGCAAAATGGGCAACCACCCAGTCTGTTTTATGTCTAAAAGAGGTCTAGTCTTTCAGGGGTAGGAGAAGGGAGCTTCTTATGCTTGCAGAGTTGGGCAGCCTTAGCTGTCCATCTCTTGGTCTCATCCTGAAGAGATGTGGCCTCTCTTTAGTTACCTTTCACACAGGTTCCTCCAGGATGGGGCCTTTAGGTTTACAAAGTAGAGCGCGTTAGCTTGACATTGTCTGATTTCCAGGCTCACACTGACACCCCTGTGTTTTGTTTTTTGCAGGTTGGGTGGCCCAGACCCCTTGGACTATGTTAGCATGTACAGGAATGTGGGGAGCCCTTCTGCTAACATCCCTGAGCACTGGCACTACATCAGCTTCGGCCTGAGTGATCTCTATGGCGACAACAGAGTCCATGAGTGAGTGTGTGCCACCTGTTCTTTATCCAGAGCCTTATTCCTGAAGTTTTCCTGAGCAGGGGTGACAATGTCATAGTGCTGTGAGCTTGGTACTTGTCAGTGGAACCTCTACATTTCTGCCCTCTGACTATGTCTGCTCATGCCAAGGTGGTCATTGTTAACACCTGATTCCTGCTTACCTGGTTCAGGAAAGTCTTGATGAGCAGGAGTTCCCAAATCAGGTGTTTCTAAGCTTGCCCTGGAGTTTGGGCTTATAGGACGGGAAGGGTAGCATGGTTATGACTCAGAACTTGGGCAGATGCTTCTGTGTCTACTTCCTTTTATTCCCCTATCTTATTATGAAACATTGTAAACATAAAGCAAAGTTGAAAGGATTTTATAGTGAACACTCATATACCCACAACCCAGATTCTACTGTTGACTTTATACTTGCTTTATCACAAATCTGTCCCTCTCTCATCCCTTTATCCTGTCTTCTCTAAAATACCAAAATTAACCCAGGTGTCGGGTGGCCACATTGCCTTGGTAATTCCCAGGCTTATAGAGAGGGCTGGAGGGCAGGAGAATGCTTGACCCTTGGAGTAGAGGTTGCAGGTGAGGCCGAGATTTGGCACATGTTGTACTTCCAGCCTGGGCAACAAGAGCTGAAAAATCCATCTCGCAAAATAAATACATATAAATAAATAAAAAAATAAAATAAAAATAGTTTTTTTTTTCTGTTTATATTCTTTGCACTGACAGTTTGTTTAATTTAAATGTAATCGCTCTCTTTTTTTTTTTTTTTTTGGGACGGAGTCTCACCTCTGTCGCCAGGCTGGACGTGGCAGTCCGGAATCTCAGCTCACTGGCCAAGCCTCGCCTCCGGGGTTTTACCGCCTTCTCCTGGCCTCAGCCTCCGGAGTACGGCTGGACTACAGGCGGGCCCGGCCACCCGCGGCTCGGTAGTTTTTTTGCATTTTTTTTTAGTAGAGACGGGTTTACCGTGTTAGCCAGGATGGTCTCGATTCTCCTTGCTCCGTTGATCCGCCTGCGGCCTCGAGCCCCAAAGTGCTGGGGATTACAGGCGTGAGGCCACCGCGCCCGGGCCTAAAGTAATCTTTCTATGTTCGTAATTCTGTCAATTAAAAAATAAATAAGGTGGCCGGGGCTGCGGTGGCTCCAAGCCTGTAAATCCAGCCACTGTTGGAGGCGAGACGGCCGGATCACCCGGAGGTTCAGGAGATTCGGGGACCATTTCCTGGCGGAACCGGGTGAACCCCGTCTCTTACTATAAAGAATACAAAAAACTAAGCCGGCGATCGGCGGGTGCGCCCTGTAGTCCCAAGCTACCTCGGGGAGGCTGAGTGCAGGGGAATGGGCGTAACCCCGGGGGCGCGAGCTTGCAGTGAGCTGAGATCCGGCGACTGCACTCGCAGGGCCCGGGGGCAACAGAGCCAGGGACTCTGTCTCAAA